CAACCCGCCCCCCCACCCCCGTAAACAGGCAGCACGGGGAACAGAGGTGCACAAATGCTTTTCAGGTAAAAGCTGTGAGACGGTGCGTTGGGGTTTTCTCGTCTCCTGCACCCCCGTAGGGGCCCAACCCCCCCCCCCCAGCCAGTAGAACAGAGGAGTTTATCGCTTCTCCAGGATACAGCACACAGCATCTGTCATCTGGTTACAGGGACTTGGGCTAGGAGGCCTCAGTGCCCCCCCTTGAGATGGGGGGTGGCTGGGCCCTATAATCCCAACCCCTCTCCCTAGCTCCTTCTCCCCTGCTTCCCAGACAGAAACTAAAGACCGTCCCTTCCAGCCCTGCCCCCCACCAGGGGCGACATTCCACCTCCCTTTGGTCCTCTCCCTGGGGGGGTAACAGGTTACGTCCCTGTCCCATCAGCTACTGGGCTACCCACAGCCCATGCCTAGCAATCAGCAAGGTACCCGCACTACGGCACAGTCCCGCCCCCAGTCCCTTGGCCAGTGTTTTACCAGCGTCACGCCTGACGTCAGCCGTCCCAGGGCTTAGGCTGCACCGTAACTCCCCCAAATGGCAGCGCCTCCCCGCCCGGGCAGCCTGGGGCCCTCTCCCCGCCTGCCCCTGGCCCTCCCAGCCCTTCCTCAGGCCTCTCCCTCCCTCCAGAGCAGTGCTTCTTAAACTTTTTAAGACCGAGGAACACCAAACAATTTTTTTTTTTAATGGGGAACACCAAGCATTTTTTTGTTGAGGAAAAAAAAAAGTTGGGGGGGAAAAGGGTCAGGGGGAAAGTTATTGAGGAGGAAAAAATGGCCAAGGGAAAGTTATTGAACCAAAAAAAAAAAAGGTCGCCTGCCCCTTTAACGATGGCCATTTTGAATTCTGCTGGGCTCCGTGGCAGCACACCGCTGTGCCACGGAACACTGCTCCAGAGCCTCTGAAAACGCCCCTGCCCTTCCCGGGGGGGTCAGAGCGGCTGACACAGAGAAAGGGCTTAACACCTGGTCCAACACCCCCGGGAGTCATCCTCTGACCTGCCTGATGGGAGCCACAGGGGGCCAGCCCAGCATCCTGGCTGCCGAGGGGCCAATGCCAGGTGCCCAGAGGGAATGAACAGACCCAGGAACCATCCAGTGATCCCTGTCTGTCGCCCATTCCCAGGGTCTGACAAACAGAGCCTAGAGCCCTCAGCCCTGCCCATCCTGGCTAATAAGCAGGGCTTGACAAACGGCGGCGAAAACCACTCGCCAGCCCCGTACTGCACATGCGCCCTCCGCGAATAAACAGGGCGCGCAGCTGAAATCTACTTGCCCTGGGCGAGTCGATTGTATCATTTGTCGAGCCCTGCTAATAAGTATTGATGGATTTATGAATCCATTAATCTGTCTAGTTCTTTTTTGAACCCTGTTAAACTCTGGGTCTTCACGACATCCTCTGGCGAGGAGTTCCACAGGTTGACTGTGTGCTGTGTGAAGGAAAAATCTTCCTTTGGTTTTAAACCTGCTGCCTATTCGTTTCATTGGGTGACCCCTAGATCTTATATTGTGGGAACAACTGAATCACTTTTCCTTATTCACTTTCTCCAGTTACAAACCCCCGTTAGAGTTCCGCAGTTTCCTAGTTGAGTTCTTTCAGAACTCTTGGGTGATGCCACCTGGCCTGGTGACTTGTTACTGCTCAGCTGGTCCGTTTGTTCCAAAACCTCCCCAATGCCACCTCTAGTGTAGCCCTGGGTGGGGTCTGAAGGGAGCCTGCCAGGCGGCCTTTGCAAAGCTTCTCAGTCCACTGGGAGTTGGCACCCGTCTCCCAGCCCCTGGGGTGTCGCTGCCGTTAGCGCATGGGGGGTGCCAATGGGTTTTGCACATCCCAAGAGTGGCTTGGTTCCTTGGCTGAGCAGGTACATTAAGATCGGGGACAAGGAGGTGGAGTACCACCCCGACTTCCATCTCATCCTGCACACCAAATACTTCAACCCCCACTACAAGCCCGAGATGCAGGCGCAGTGCACGCTCATCAACTTCCTGGTGACCAGAGACGGGCTGGAGGATCAGCTGCTGGCAGCAGTGGTGGCAAAAGAGAGGCCCGATCTAGAGCAGCTGAAGGTAGCAACTTGGCGACATGCGGGGACATGGGGGCATGTGCCCCCCAATGCCATGGGCAGGAGAGTCCAGGGGCCGGGGCCAAAGCCTCTCGCTGCCCCTGCACCGCATGCACCAGCAGCAGCGCGACCCCAGGCCATGCCACTGGAGGGAGGGGCAGGACTGGCCCCCGCTCGCTGGCGGGAAGTGGAGCCACGCGGCCAGAGAGCAGAGCAAGCCGGGGCCATGTTGTTCTGCTTCCCCGCTGGCCCTGGGCTGCACTGCTTGGGGCAAGGGGCGGAGCAGGGCTGGGGCCTGGAGCATGGGGGTTGTTCCAGCCCTCCCCAGGCCGGCAAGGTGGCAGCAGGAAAAGCATCCTGCCTGCGGGGGGGAGGGCCCTGGGATTAATGGCCCGGGGGTTGCAGAGTCACCGTTGCTGGAGGAATTTCAGAGCCGGCTGGACAGCCCCCTGCTAGGGTGGCCTTAGGCTCCCCGCGGGCAGGGCCCTCCCCGTGCTGGCACTGCGCTGGGCCCTGCAGGCTTCTCTTGCAAATCGGCGGCTCTGCCAGCTCCTTTCCCCAGGAAAGCCCCAGGGCCCGTGAGAGCGAGACTGTGCCGCTGCACTTGCTCCTTCCATGGCACGTGTCGGGTGGGTCCCAGGTGCACGTGGTGGGGCAGAACCAGCAGACACACCTAGCAGCAGGCCCGTCAGCGCAGGGCAGGCATCGAACCGAGCCCTCGCTCCAGGGCGGGACAGGCCTGGCAGGGGCCGGTCTGGGGGGATTGGAGGACGAAGGGATAACGGCCCAGCGCCGTTCTCAGGCAGTAATGGGCTGAGCAGACCCCGCAAATGGATTTTAAAGAGACGTGCAGGACACGCGCCCAGAGAACCAGCAGGTGAGGGACCGACCAGCTTTGCCCTTTTCTCGGCAGCTGTAGATGCTAGTCAGACTATAAACTACCCCGCTGTGGCAACGCACGTGAAACCAGCCAGGGACGCTGCTAACTGGTGCCTTGTACCTGCCAACGGGCCCCGTTTAAATCCCCCACACTGAACGCTCTGGTTGAAAGCCCCTGCTGACCTCTTGCCCTCTCTTCTGCACTGACGCTGTAGGCACATCTCACCAAAAGCCAAAACGAGTTCAAGATTTTCCTGAAGGAGCTGGAGGATTCTTTGCTTGCCCGGCTCTCTGCTGCATCAGGGAACTTCCTGGGAGACACAGCCTTGGTGGAGAATCTGGAGACCACAAAGCGGACAGCCATGGAAATTGAGGAAAAAGTAAGCAAGCTGCCCGGCGCTCCTGCAGGCTGTGCTGGGGAACCTGCCGCGTTTCTTTTAGCAAACGCCGTGCGAGCAGGGCCGAGGCTGGGGAGACGTGCTGCTTTCCAGGGCACGCAAAGGGGCCGGAGTAAACTTCCCTTTGTTTTTAAGGTGCGAGAAGCTAAAATTACAGAAATAAAAATTAACGAGGCCAGAGAAAGCTACAGGCCGGCTGCAGAAAGGGCGTCCCTGCTGTACTTCATACTGAACGACCTCAACAAGATTGACCCCATCTACCAGTTCTCACTGAAGGTAGCTAGCAGCTGGGGCAGGCAGTTCAGGGACGACTTCCCGATGCCAGCAACCAAATCCCCCATCTCCGGCCTTTCCGCCCAGGCGTTCAACGTGGTCTTCGAGAAGGCCATCCAGCGCACGGTCCCGGCCGAGGACGTGAAGCAGCGGGTGGTGAACCTGACGGACGAGATCACCTACTCCGTCTTCGTGTACACGGCCCGGGGCCTGTTCGAGAGAGACAAGCTCATTTTCATGGCCCAGATTTCCTTTCAGGTAGCCTCCGCTGCTAACCCTGTTCTGCTCTGGGCCACAGGGCGAGAGCGTCTCTCTGGGGCAAGGCTCTCAAGGATCATGACTAAGGCGACGATTTTGCCAGGCACTTTCACCTCAGAGCTGCAGGGAAAATGGCAGAGCCAAGGCAGCGGCCTGGCCTGTCCTGCAGGACCAGGCCCAGCTCCTCGCGCCCGGCGCTGCGACCCCACACACCAAGGAAATGGGGCCTGACTCCAGCTGCAGATGCCAGACTCCCGTGGCCAGTTCTCTTTCCCGGCCCACTGTTGCAAGGGCCACAGACTTTAACGACTCTGTGAGCCCAAGCCAAAGCCAAAGCCGTGGCCTCCGTGACCGGCTGGCTTGTGTGTGAACATGCCCTGCTGGGCAACCACGGCACCACGCTACCCCAAAGAGCCTCCGCCCGACGTCCACTGCTCCACGGGGATCCCGACTTCAGGGACTTTGGCTCAGGCCCCAGGGGCCCATAGGTGCCCGCAGGCCCCCGAGCATGCTAGGCCCCAGGCCCATTCTGCCAACATGGGGGGAGCGCTGAAGGCACAGGGGCGGCGTTGGGGGCTCCCTGAAGAGGGCAAAAGGCCTGCAGAGCTGACTGGGGCTGCCCAGTGGGGGAGCGGTCCTGTTGCTGTCCCGTGGGCTAGTGTGCACCGAGCCCTGCGGACAGCATTGGGCCTGCACCCCTGGGTGGGGGGCGTCCAGAGGCTGTGGGGGAACACAAGGGCAGAGGGAGGCGCTTGGCGAGTCCCAAGGAGGGGCTGGCCCGGTCGGGGCAGCAGGACAGGGCTGAGCCGGGCAGCGTGGGGGGCAGGCCCAGCCTGGCAGAGATGTGCCAAGCACAAAAGCCGCAGGGGTTCCTCCTTCCCCTGGGCGCGTCTGAGCGGGCACATGCCTTTCCCAGCGTGCTGGGGGTGCCCATCTGGTCACATGTCCAGTGGCACTGCGCCAGGCGGCCCTGCCCCACAGAGCCGCAATACCAGAACTTGGGGTCCAGGCCCATTTCCTCTGGGCGCCCGCGTCTGCCCCACTTCTGCAGCGCCCGCGGCCCCAGCACTGCGAGCCGCCGTGTGCGAGAGCCTGACGCCGCGCTTCCCCTCAGGTCCTGCTCACGAAGAAAGAGGTGAACCCGGTCGAACTGGACTTTCTTCTGCGCTTTCCGTTCAAGGCTGGACTCACGTCCCCTGTGGACTTTCTGCTGTCCCAAGGGTGGGGTGGGATTAAGGTGCGTCTGAGGAAGGTCAATTTCTCCTGGTGTAAGAGCTGCTCCGTGGCAGTGAGTGAACCGGGGCCAGGCCCGGGCGGGTTGAAAGAGGAGCAGAAGGAGACTGAACCTACGGAAGCCAGTTCCCAGCTCTGAAAAAGGCTGCTGCGACAGACAGCCCCATTGCTGCAGTCGCTATCTGAAAGTAGCATTGACCCAAGCTCAGGCCGAGTGCGCAGCTAATCCCCGAGCAGCCAGGGCAGCCGCAGGGGCAGTCGGTTTGTGGCGCGGTGTAGCCAGTGTCCCTTGGGAAGGCGTTTCCCGTGGGTAGCATGTAAAGCGCCGAAGCTTTGCGGTGGGACCAAGTCCCCTTTGCTTGTGGAAGGCTCAGTGTGTTCGTGTGACTGACCTGGGGCACAGCTGTGGCCCGTATGCCGGACCTGCCGCGGGCAGGCGCTGGGGGTAGCCCCCCCCGCCCCTAGACAGAGGGACAGGTCCATCCACAAGTGGCGAAGATGGAAGCTGCGAGGGGCGCAGGGCGGCCAGGGAGCCGCTCTCCAAAGAGGGGCTCTCACGGGAGGGGGGTGGCCAAGGGGCTCCCTTTTCTTGCGTAATCGCCCCGCACAGCTGTTCGCGTACCGTGTGAAACTGACCGTTTGCGCCGATTTTGGGTGCATCACAAATTCTCCCCCCTCCCTGCACGGCCCCCAGTGCCCAGCAGGGCTCGTTCCCAGGGGCCAGCAAGGAGGGGTTAGTGCCGCGAGCGCGCAGCCGAGCTGAGATTGGACAGGGCATCGCTCCTGTCAGTCAAAGAAAAGGGGACAGGCCGGGGCGGGAGCTAGAGCGCTAAGCAACGCGCAGCCTGTGGGGAGCCGCCGGGCCCCAGGCACAAGGCTCGAGTGGCTCCCCGTCTCCTGCACGCGAAGGTCCTCTCAGAAATGGACGAGTTCAAGAACTTGGACGGCGACATCGAAGGCTCGGCCAAGCGGTGGAAGAAGTTTGTGGAGTCGGAGGCGCCGGAGAAGGAAGTGTTCCCGAAGGAGTGGAAGAACAAGTCAGCGCTGCAGAAGCTGTGCATGATGCGGTGCATGAGGCCGGACCGGATGACCTACGCCGTCAGGTACCGTCCTGAGCCCCCGGGCTGGCCGGAGGG